AATGAAAATGCTCATCAGAAAGAGCCAAGACCTGAACCCACAGGGCCAACTACTGGTACTGATGCCACACCAGCTTCCAGCTCTCAGCCCAAGGATAAAGGCAAGGCTCCAGCTACTGTGGAGGCATATGAAGAAGACGATGAAGAAACTGAAGAAGAAGAGGATCCTGAACAGTTTCGTCTTGCCAGAAGGAGGCCTGGATCATCTAAAATCACTATCTAGGCACTGCTAGGTCACTGCACTTTATTTTAGACTTGTGGTTCATCTTTTGCACTACAGAACTTTTCGTTTGTTATGTACTAAGAATTATATTTCTGGTCTACTTTTCGTACAATTGGATGTTTTCTACTATTTTTGATGTTATCTGCTATGAATAGCTACGTTTCTGTGTTTGTTATGAATGAATGTGTTTCTGTGTTTCTGGGCATGAATGGACTTTTCTGATATTATCTGATCTTTGTTGTCAAAATTTTTATTGCTAATGGATCACTGATGACAAAATTGATCAGTTCTAAAGAAATTGATCATGGCAAACCTGCTTTTGTGATGACAAAAAGAGGGAGAAATGTACTAGCACTAATGGTATAAAGAAATTAGTTAGGGGTGTCAGTTTTAGGGAGAGGTGCATTTCTTTTCGTATACTCATTGCACTTTGTTAGGGGGAGCTGTTATCCCAGTTTGTATTTCTTTTTGCTCTATCCATGTGTTTTGTCATCATAAAAAAGGGGGAGATTGTTTATCCAATTCATATCTTTTGATGATTAACAAAACAAACGGATGTTACTAATAATCTTTGAAGAGAATCCTTTCAGAAATGGCACCAAACAGGTCTGAGGTCTCAGAGCAAAAAGAAGATCAAAAAGGTGAAAAATACTGAGGAAGATGTCGAACGCACAAAAGGAGAGTATCGGACATCTGACATCCATTGAGTATCTTCGGACGAATGAAAACTCAGACTCGGACGTCCGAAGAAGGCAAGCCAGGGCTTCTACAACTACTGATCACGATCGGACGCTCAACACCTGAGCATTGGACGTCCGACAAGTATTGCTGCTCTTCGGACGCAACATCTTGGATGTATCGGCCGTCCGAAAGAATTAAAGAGGAACCTCCAAGTTTGCATCTTACCCTCGGACGCATGGCGAGAAGGATCGGGCGTCCTAAGTGGGTCAAGAAAATTTCTCGAACTCACTGACCTCGCTCGGACGCATAAAAACTGACTATCGAACGTCCGACAGCACCAACGGCTAGTTGACTTTTCAGATGCCTTCTACCCGTTGACAGCATTAATTGAAGAATTTTCTGATCTCCTATAAAAAGAACAAAGTCAACCACCTCAGAAGAACTTTACACATTAAGTCTACATCAGATCTTGAGTGATTCAAGTGTGTGAATACTCCAAAAAGAAGATTTGTACTCTTAGTTGTGTAATCTTCTTTTAGCTTTTCAAGTGTGATCTAATTTCATCAATAATGTAGCTTTGTGAGGGTTATCCGTGTGATTGTAAAATTTCTTTGCTTGTTCGAGTGAGACTTGAGGCAAGAAGGAAGTGATCCTTCGTTTGTACACAAGAGATTGGTTGAAAGTTGATCTACTGTGAAGTAGCTTGATACATATACAAAGTGTTGTTCAAACTTAGTCAAGTTTGAAATTTGTTTGCAAATTCCATCCTCTCATTTATTGTCTTGATATAAATTGCTTACTTGTTCTACTTACAAACTATTTGTACTAATCCATCAACTGGTTTTCAGTAAGGTTCCTTTGAAAAAGAAATCCAGGTCAAAGAAAAGGAGGAAAGGTGTCTCATATCTTGGCCTGATTTTTAGTTAACCTAATTCACCCCCTCTTAGGCTATCTTCGATCCTTACACTTGCATATTCAAAAGAATGAAACTTTCCTTGCTAGGTAAAGGAGGAACATTATTATATATTCCTTCAAATTTGGTTGTCATACTTGATATTTTGTGCTGACCCTTAATGGGATTTTGGGATACGTATGGGCCACCAGGGAAATTGGCTTAACAGATGTCTGGTTTGTGTAAAATTGCTGGTGGATGATATTGGAATTATTGCTGATTTAGCTGTGGTTGCAACTTACAAGTAGTCTGTTTGCTTCAGCATTTTAACATGGCGACTGACTTTTCAGTGGCCGCAAATGGCCTCTGTCCATTTTTTGAGATGTCCAAACAGTTACATTTCAGGCTTTTGCCAGGTATGGAAATTTTGGAATCGAATTATGAGCTCTCAGCATGCGATTTTCACTTAACTGATCCCCAGCAATTAACAGACCCGCACTCTAGTAGATACATTTTTAGCCACTTCATGCAATATTTGAAAATATTTCTTACGCAAATATGAGATGTGTAACCTTCATTGTTGTAGTCGAATAGCATTCCTAATTGACCAATTGTTACTGGTCAATTAGTTAATCTTAACCTGAAAGCAATAGTAGAGTAAATAAACATGATTGTGGCCCAAGTCTTCAGTTCTTTGGCTAGATGATAGTTAATACACGATTATGGTCTTGATTCTTCAATTCTTTGGATGGATGGAACTATTGGGAAATTGTTCATTTAATAAACATGTTTGGTCTTGATTCTTCTAGAAAAGAAAGGTAAATTCTTAAAGGCGAAGGCAAGCTCTTCGAGTGTCGAACTTGAACATGCATGTTACCTTTTTTGCTTTTGGGTGATGACAGTAGATAACATTTCATGTGGAGCATGACCGAGAAAGACAAAGGTCTAGAGAACGGATGACTGTGTTCATTGATTGATTTTTCATTTCCCAAGTTATTGCATTTGTTGATCTTCCAACTTGGTTAAGATAGTGGTTGATGACGAATGAGTTGAGGCTTTCCAAAAAGGATTTGCAAACGTGGATTCATAATGTGTCAATTGCGTCCCCATGTTCCAACTCTTATCCCTCTTGTGAAAAGCAAAGATTTTTCAACTTTTTTTTTGACGTGAAAGAGTTGATGGTGAAGAAAATTAAACATGAGCAATGACTTTGTTTTAACTCCTCTTTCATCACAAAATCCTTAATTAACACGACTTTTAGCATAAAACTTGGCTGCTACTACTTTTCCTCTTACCTTGCCACACAAAATAAGCAAGAAATTGACAAATACCTCCTGCGTGCCCTCATAAGTATTATTTGGCTCGTATTCTCCCAAGATATAGGTGCCTATCAAACTATAATGCGACGCAAGAAAAATAAGAAGTAAATAACAAAAGAAATGTGAAAATAAAAGCCATAAAATCAAACTAGTATAACTTACCTCTATACATAAGCTCTTTTTTTTTGTTCAAATTACTCAACAGGAGTGTGCATCAAAATCAAATTCGGTAATTTGGAATTTTAAATTTGAAGTTTTTGGAAATTTGGACATTAGAAAATTTGATCGATTTCAAATTCGATTTCACAATTTCCAAATTCAATTTGAAAGTCGGTAATAACCGATTTCACCTAATTCTGTAATTATATGTAAGTTTGCTAAACTAAATGCCAACTTTTGTATAATATAAGTTATAGTTATAACATAATATACAACTAACTTAATAGGACTTATTATTGTATTGTTTTATAATATTATTATAAATAGATTTAATATTATATAATATAAATTTTATATCACATATATATTAATATATATAACACATACGAATTTGAAATTGAATATCAAATTAGGTATTCGATTCCGATTTCGTATTGTGAATTCGAAATCCAAAATTTCGTTTTGAGAAAACATATTCTCAAATTCAAACCAAATTCGTTTATTTTGAAAATAAAAAAATTCGATTTCCTTTTCGTTTTTCGCTTTACCGATTTCGAGAATTCCAAAATTCGAATCAAACTCGATCGATAAATCGATTTTTTTTAAGTTACATGCTCCTATAACTCAGAATGAATCACTTATTATATATTTATACTCCACCTAAGAAAGGACATAAGAATTTATAACTCTCTTGTAATATAAAGCTAAGTTAAAATATCAAACTCAAGAAAAAAGAAAAATACACGCTTACACATTTCATACTTTTCCCCCGTCATTTCCCTAGAAACAAAACAAGCACCTTTAATGTAATAATAAAAATTTTAAAAAAAATGTTCGGGGCCATTACAAAGGGCACAGCAAATATGCGGGGACACAACCAGAAATCAAGCCAAATTTGAGGGCAACAAGGAAGTTTAAATAATCGCGCTCTCTCCGTCAAAGTTGGCTGTTAAGGTTTCTTTTGCATATGAGTGAACTATGAATGAAAATAATCCGAAAGTACTTGCACTTGTTCCTTACTTAAGCCCTCGAATGCCTTTCCTAGTTTTTCTTTCTCCATTGATCTATTGAAACATTGAGAGTTTGGATTTTGAACAAGAAAATCTTGCAAGGGTACTCAATATTGAATCGATTGGTATATTTTGCACATTAGCTTTTCATAAGGTTTAGGTTCATTCCATAAGTCGACCACTCTCTTTAAAGATTGTTCCTTTGTAATATTTGATTGCAAGTAAGAATGCAGCCTAATACCAAACTTAATCCAAAAAAACGTTGCTTAGTATTTAATTTGTTGTATGCCTAGTCTGCCATGCTCTGGGTATATGCATGGAAGTCAATTCCTAGAATGCTACCATTTACCAAAACATTCTTGCGTGTGGTCTTCTTTCCCAAAGCACATTTATGCAAAAAATATTTATCAAGCATGGTAGCCAATGGCTTCACATTGGTGGACTGAAAATTTATGAGTTGTAAACGGCTTGCAATACTGGATGTCATATTGTTGATTAGTCTTCTTATACCAGTAGGATTTCCATATTCCAGAATGAGATGATAGTCCTTGAAAATATGAATGGGACTGACATCTTCCCCATTTCTCTTCTTAAGGTGAGAAGCTCACTGGAAATAGGATGTGAAGCTTCTACACAGGAAGGAAGGATTTTGCTACATTTAGTGCTACAGGTGCCAAAGGGCACTGCTTCACCATAAATCATCCTTCAGTGTTTATTTTTTTGTAACTATCTTCAAACCATGAAGCTTTCTGTAGTTTTCAAATCCTTGCGTAGCTATCCCGCTTTTCGTGTGGTTACTGGCCCTCTACAGTCTCGTGCTTTTCAGCCTGATTTCATTCCCAGGGACCCCAAATCAAAGCCCGTAAGACACAAGTATCCTGCTTTCTTTGATCCTTATAGCCCTAGACCCCTAACTTCAGATAAGATCATTCGGCTTGCAGAGCAGATTGCAGCCCTGTCTCCTGAAGAGCGTAATTTAATTGGTCCCACGCTTAGAGACAGACTAAGGCATCCTAAGATTCAACCAGTTTTAGTGGAGGGCATGGACTTGGGTCCTCAGGGAGGGTCTGGTGCTGGGTATTCAAAGGCTGAGGAGAAGAAGGTTGAAAAAACTGCATTTGAAAAAACTGCATTTTAACATGGCGGCTGACTTTTCAGTGGCCGCAAATGGCCTCTGTCCATTTTTGAGATGCCAAACAGTTACATTTCAGGTTTTTGCCAGGTATGGAAATTTTGGAATTGAATTATGAACTCTCAGCATGCGATTTTCACTTAACTGATCCCCAGCAATTAACAGACCCACACCCAGTAGATTTTTTAGCCACTTCATGCAATATTTGAAAATATTTCTTGCGCAAATATGAGATGTGTAACCTTCATTGTTGTAGTCGAATAGCATTCCTAATGACCAATTGTTACTGGTCAATTAGTTCATCTTAACCTGAAAGCAGTAGTAGAGTAAATAAACATGATTGTGGCCCAAGTCTTCAGTTCTTTGGCCAGATGATGTTAATATACGATTATGGTCTTGATTCTTCAATTCTTTGGATGGATGGAACTATTAGGAAATTGTTCATTTAATAAACATGTTTGGTCTTGATTCTTCTAGAAAAGAAAGGTAAATCTTAAAGGCGAAGGCAAGCTCTTCAAGTGTCGAACCTTGAACATGCATGTTACCTTTTTTGCTTTTGGGTGATGACAGTAGATAACATTTCCATGTGGAGCATGACCGAGAAAGACAAAGGTCTAGAGACGGATGACTGTGTTCATTGATTGATTTTTCCATTTCCCAAGTTATTGCATTGTTGATCTTCCAACTTGGTTAAGTAGTGGTTGATGACGAATGAGTTGAGGCTTTCCAAAAAGGATTTGCAAACGTGGATTCATAATGTGTCAATTGCGTCCCCATGTTCCAACTCTTATCCCTCTTGTGAAAAGCAAAGATTTTTCAACTTTTTTTTTTTGACGTGAAAGAGCTGATGGTGAAGAAAATAAACATGAGCAATGACTTTGTTTTAACTCCTCTTTCATCACAAAATCCTTAATTAACACGTTTAGCATAAAACTTGGCTGCTACTACTTTTCCTCTTACCTTGCCACACAAAATAAGCAAGAAATTGACAAATACCTCCTGCGTGCCCTCATAAGTATTATTGGCTGTATTCTCCCAAGATATAGGTGCCTATCAAACTATAATGCGACGCAAGAAAAATAAGAAGTAAATAACAAAAGAAATGTGAAAATAAAAGCCATAAAATCAAACTAGTATAGCTTACCTCTATACATAAGCTTTTTTTGTTCAAATTACTCAACAGGAGTGTGCATCGAAATCAAATTCGATAATAAATTTTTGGAAATTTGGACATTAGAAAATTCGATCGATTTCAAATTCGATTTCACAAATTCCGAATTCAATTTGAAAGTCGGTAATAACCGATTTCACCTAATTCTGTAATTATATGTAAGTTTTGCTAAACTAAATGCCAACTTTTGTATAATATAAGTTTATAGTTATAACCTAATATCAACTAACTTAATAAGACTTATTATTGTATTGTTTTATAATATAATTATAATTAGATGTATTATTATATAATATAAATTTTTATATTACATATATATATTAATATATATAACACATACGAATTTGAAATTGAATATCAAATTAGGCATTCGATTCCGATTTCGCATTGTGAATTCGAAATCCAAAATTCCGTTTTGAGAAAACATATTCTCAAATTCAAACCAAATTCGTATATTTTGAAAATAAAAAAATCCGATTTCCTTTTTTTTTTGCTTTACCGATTTCGAGAATTCCAAAATTCGAATCGAATTCGATCGATAAATCGATTTTTTTTAAGTTACATGCTCCTATAACTCAGAATGAATCACTTATTTATATTTATACTCCACCTACGAAAGGACATAAGAATTTATAACTCTCTTGTAGTATAAAGCTAAGTTAAAATATCTAGCAAGAAAAAAGAAAAATACACACTTACACTTTTCATACTTTTCCTCCGTCATTTCCCTAGAAACAAAACAAGCACCTTTAATGTAGTAATAAAAATAAAAAAAAATGTTCGGGGGCCATTACAAAGGGCACAGTAAATATACGGGGACACAACCAGAAATCAAGCCAAATTTGAGGGCAACAAGGACGCTTAAATAATCGCGCTCTCTCTGTCAAATTAGGGTTCTTATATTCACATTTCTATTTTCTACACGTTGACAATTCACACTCTCAACCGTCACTCCTTTCCCCAGCAGAAGCCTAACAGAATCAATAATAAATTCGTAAGCCCATTGTGTTTGTTTACATCAGCACCATCATTCATGTAAATATGTGCTTAGTTATCTAAAAAATTTTTTTTAGCCCTTAAATGCTGGATTGCATTTCTTGTTTATTTTCTTAAGCTTCACAAGTCCTCGTGAATCTTTGGTGGCAGATGCGGTATTCTTCATTTGAGGACTTTTTATCTCTGGGTTGGTAGTAATTCTCATAAATTTAAATTTTTTAATTGCTTCTTTCTTTTTACATAATATGGTACGAATGATTGGGAATTATTCTGTGCTTAGCTATTTTTTCATTTATTTTAAAAAATTATAGCTTGAGATACAACAGTTAGCGGTTGTAGTCAAGTTTCATTGATTTTGTAATAATAGTGAATTATTACGGGTTATTACAATAAAAATTATGTTGTCACTGTATTTTTTAAATTATCCCCAAAAAAGGGTAAACAATAAAAGAAGGCGATTGGGAAAGCCATAAAGGAGCCAGACACTGGTAAAGTAATTTACGGGGCCAAAGAGTAAAATCAATAAAAAAAGGGCATTATTGCAAAACGGGCACTTAAATATCCGTCAGGGTTCTTATTCGCGTTTGCACACGCAGACGCTTCTCGCTGTCCTTCTCTGTATTCGTTTATGAAACCCACAAAATTAACAAAAAATTTGTAAGTTCATTTATTTTTTATTTAGCTGTGAAGGATTTTTCCCCCTGTGAAATGGATGATTTATTTATGTTTTAATTTCTTGATTTTGATTGTAGCTTGTGAACCTTTCGTTGCTAATGCCTTATTGTGTCTCTCAGGAGTTCTTTATTTCTTGGTGGTTATTTCTCCATAAAGTTTATATTTTGTCATAACAATTTGTATCTGGTGATTGGATTTTATTTTGTGCTTAGACTATTGAAGTTCAATGAAATTGTTAGTTCTGGAGCCTGAGTTATTTTATTTTATTTTTTGGCTGGAACTGGTCTGAAACCCGAATGAAGATGGATGTAAAATTTGTTCCCTAAGTTGGCTGTTAAGGTTTCTTTTGCATATGAGTGAACTATGAATGAAAATAATCCGAAAGTACTTGCACTTGTTCCTTACTTAAGCCCTCGAATGCCTTTCCTAGTTTTCTTTCTCCTTTGATCTATTGAGACATTGGATAGTTTGGATTTTGAACAAGAAAATCTTGCAAGGGTACTCAATATTGAATCGATTGGTATATTTTGCACATTATCTTTTCATAAGGGTTAGGTTCATTCCATAAGTCGACCACTCTCTTTAAAGATTGTTCCTTTGTAATATTTGATTGCAAGTAAGAATGCAGCCTAATACCAAACTTAATCCAAAAAAACGTTGCTTAGTATTTAATTTGTTGTATGCCTAGTCTGCCATGCTCTGGTATATGCATGGAAGTCAATTCCTAGAATGCTACCATTTACCAAAACATTCTTGCGTGTGGTCTTCTTTCCCAAAGCACATTCATGCAAAAAATATTTATCAAGCATGGTAGCCAATGGCTTCACATTGGTGGACTGAAAATTTATGAGTTGTAAACGGCTTGCAATACTGGATGTCATATTGTTGATTAGTCTTCTTATACCAGTAGGATTTCCATATTCCAGAATGGGATGATAGTCCTTGAAAATATGAATGAGACTGACATCTTCCCCATTTCTCTTCTTAAGGTGAGAAGCTCACTGGAAATAGGATGTGAAGCTCTACACAGGAAGGAAGGATTACATTCATTTTGCTGCATTTAGTGCTACAAGTGCCAAAAGGCACTGCTTCACCAGAAATCATCCTTCAGTGTTTATTTTTTTGTAACTATCTTCAAACCATGAAGCTTTCTGTAGTTTTCAAATCCTTGCGTAGCTATCCCGCTCTTCGTGTGGTTACTGGCCCTCTACAGTCTCGTGCATTTCAGCCTGATTTCATTCTCGGGGACCCAAATCAAAGCCTGTAAGACACAAGTATCCTACTTTCTATGATCCTTATGGCCCTAGACCTCAACCTTCAGATAAGATCATTCGGCTTGCAGAACAGATTGCAGCCTTGTCTCCTGAAGAGCGTAATTTGATTGGTCCCACGCTTAGAGACAGACTAAGGCATCCTAAGATTCAACCGATTTTAGTGAAGGGCATGGACTTGGGTCCTCAGGGAGGGTCTGGTGCTGGGTCTTCAAAGGCTGAGGAGAAGAAGGTTGAAAAAACTGCATTTGATGTCAAGTTAGAAAAGTTTGATGCTGCTGCAAAAATTAAGGTGATCAAAGAGGTTCGTGCTTTAACAAATTTGGGGTTGAAGGAAGCCAAAGATTTAGTTGAGAAAGTACCAATTTTAATTAAGCAAGGTATCACTAAAGAAGAGGCAAATGATATTATAGAGAAGATCAAAACTGTAGGGGGAGTTGTTGTTATGGAGTAGATTTTCACCGAGTTTTGTATGCTTTCTTTGAACTGTTATCAAAGTTCCATTGCTAGTTTTTCGCTCTGATAGAGAAACAACTGCCATTCTGAAGATGTTGTTCTTGCATATTCAAAAGAATGAAACTTTCCTTGCTAGTTAGAGGAGGAACATTATTATATTTTCCTTCAAATTTGGTTTTCACACTTGATATTTTGTGCTGACCCTTAATGGGATTTTGGGATACGGATGGGCCACCAGGGAAATTGGCTTAACAGATGTCTGGTTTGTGTAAAATTGCTGGTGTATGATATTGGAATTATTGCTGATTTGGCTGTGGTTGCAACTTACAAGTAGTCTGTTTGCTTCAGCATTTTAACATGGCGGCTGACTTTTCAGTGGTCGCAAATGGCCTCTGTCCATTTTTGAGATGTCCAAACAGCTACATTTCAGGCTTTTG